GGAAAGATCTCCAAAAGAGAGGGAAGGTATAAAAGGTTTTTTAGGGCACTTCCCCAAATTTTGCTTCATGGAACATGAGCCCATGGGGAAAAAGAGTATTTTGCATGATCAGCTATGCATAGGAAATGCTTCATCCTGTAACTCACTCGAAGATTTTCAGTGCAACAGTAGCATATTAAAGCCTTTGAAAAATTCTGCCAAAACACCTGTATAACTTTGTGTAAGCAAATACTTCTATAATTTGATTGCTCTCTGAGCATTTTTTCCCCTTCTTCCACCAGCCCTTGGTCTTATTTCCCAGAGAGAAACATCCCTCCACACTGGCTATTACTTCATCTACCCTATAACATTGTGGTATCCACAGTTTGATTTTTCCCCCACACAATCTTAGGTGGCATTTGGCCCAAAGGTCCAAAACTAACAAGCTAGTAGAAAGTGGATCACTCAACCAGTTTACATTTAATGGGTATTTTCTGTAATCAAATACTGGGCTGTAGTAGGAAAAAAATCAAAGAAACATGGTCTTATCTTCTAAAAGCTCACAAGTGAAGAATTCAAAACTATCCCACAGTGAGGAACACTAATAATTCAAGATGTGTAATTGAATGATAGGATGTAAAGGACACATACCAGGACCCAGGCAAAAAGTGCTTTCCAAATGAAGAGGGAAAAAGTATAAGTTGACTTTCAAAAGTCCCTGAAGAAAGTGGACTTTGGATGAACCAGGAAATACGGGAAAAAATTTGATAGGTAGAGATAAATGGGAGGTGTTTCCAGAAGGAGAAAAAGCATGAGGAAAAGGAAGAGTAAGGCAAGATTAAGGTGTGTTTAGAAGGCAACACTGAGTGTTAGAAAAGTGAGTTTCTAACAAATAACAAATCAAAGAGCATTTGCATTGCAGGACCCCTTATACATTTTTAAAGCCACTGTGTCCCTTGCAGTACTCTCATGATATATGTAGACAAAACCCAGGGCTGTAGCTCCCAGAGCTGCTTCACTTTTACTCTGGTGCCTTAAGATACAGTGCCTCAGTTCCCTCAAAGACATTAACCATGATCACTTGTTGTTTGGAGAGTATTCTTGTATCCAGCCAGCACTCTATTTGCTGTATGCCAGTTCCCCTGGCTGGAGCTGCTAAGCAGGTGCCGCACTTGGGGTATTTGACAAACTGACACTCTACCACATGGAGTGTCCAACTCAGCTTGTCAAATACACGGAGTGAAGCACTGCAGGAGGCCGGATCAGGGACTTCCGTGAGCAGGCGAGATCTTCTTGGAAGATGTAGCCCTGAAGGGAAAGA